TTACTGGGAGGGGTGGGTTGTTAAAAATGCAGATTTCTATGTTCCATTCCAGACTCAGAGGATACAAACATTAGAGAAGGCCCTAGAAATCTGTATTTTTATAAACTCTGAAACCAATTCTTAAGCACAGTGAAATTTGAGCTTCATCATTTTAAAAATAAGAAGGGTAGAATAGACATCTATTATTTTGACTACCCAAAGTAGAATAACTCTTTCTTCTTCTACTGTAGTTCAGAAGGGTTTGCCATCTTCTTATTGATCCCACTCTGCTGGTCACAACTGATTCAGCTGCAGAAAGGTACCTATCTCCACTTGGACCAATCAAAACCTTCCCTGAGAGTTTAAAACTTAGGACCTTTAGTTTTAGTTCCTCTTTAGGCAAAAAGTTAAAAAAATATGAGCCTGAGAGCTGTTGGCAGCTGTGCAGAAGAAGTCCATTTAACAAACTGAAGCCAACAAGGAGAAAGAGAGATGGAGTCAAAATGCCTTTGCTATGTTCTGTCCTCCGAAGGAAGGTTGGGCAATCTACTTCTGTAGTGATACTGCCTCGGAAACACAAGGAGAGGTCACTATGAGTTAGGTCCGACTCAAAGGCATATAACAACACCAATAACAAATGTTCTGTCCCTGGTTGCAGCCATCTCTGAGGTCCAGCTATATCACTGAAGTTGGACTACATGAATTTATGAATATCCTTTTATTTGCTTTAGTTGTTTCAGGTTGAATTTCTGTCAATTATATCTTCCTGACTCACCAAGCCAACCAACTTTTGAAAATAATTTCATCCAGAAACAGAATTTTTTGTTGTTGTTGTTTGCCGTCAAGTCGGCCCCGACTCATAGCGACCCCTCCTTGGGTTTCTGAGGCAGTATCACTACGGAAGTAGGATTGCCCAACCTTCCTTCCGAGGAAGAAACAGAATAGTCAGTTGAATAAACCACAGATCTAAGGCATAATTTGGTTAGTTTTCTTTTCTTGGATGAACTAGCAACTTACACGGATTCAAAACAAAACTGCCTCAAATGTGATGTTCTGCCATATCACTGATGAAATGCTGTGCTCTGGAGTAGAAAAGGGAAAAAAGAAGACAGGAAAGAAGGAAATGTGGATTTTAGATGAAGTTTCATACATTTCAGAGCCAATAGCTCCAGTTTTCATTCTTTAAAGAAAACCTGCAGAAATATATTCTACTGCTTTCCGTTGGAAAATGGTAAAATAGAAGTATTAGACTTGCAAACTAGAAGTTTTATATATCATGAGCCTCAAGTAGGTTGAAAAAGCTGCTTTAAATACAATCATGAAGGATATACCTGACTTTGACTCTGCCCTTCACATTCTGGGCATTCTCTGCTACAGATACATCTCACCTTTTATACCTACCTTCTTTAATCTTGCTCTTATCTAACAATATTTATTGAGCACCTACTCTATAAGCAATGTGTCAGGCCTTGGAGATAATTTTCTGCCCCTTCTTCAAGGAGCTCATAAGCAGGAGACATTAAACATAAACTGATAATAATTTCAAAAGGCAATGTATGATAGATATTATCAAGAATGATAAGATTTCTGTCATTTGCAACCAAAAGGAATCCTGACTGATAAGGAAGTGTTCAGAAGGCCTTATGGGTGCAGCATTTTATACTGCAAAGGTATTGACAGGCAGTGAGATGAGAACAAAGGACATTCCAGGCAGACAGAATGAATAATAGCACCATGATAAGGAATCATTACTGGAGTAATTTAGGGTGCATACAGAGTAAAATATGTAAAGGAATATAATAACAAAGAGAGGGGAAGGGCAGGTTGGGCCAGAATAGTGAAGGCCTGAAATTCCACTTTTAGGGTATATATTACCTCAATTCTACTTTTTAGCAGTGTTATTTCCTACTAAATTTAACCCTGTCTCCCTAAGCCCAACCTACTCTTGATTCACTGCCAAATAAACCCCCACTAATACTTAATATCAACAATACTTAATTTCAAGTTTGACCCATTCCAAAGAAAGTGATCCCACCGAATGTGGAAATTATTGAACAGCATCATAAATATCACATGCAAGTAAAATCTTGCTGAAGGTCATTAAAAAAACGGTTTCAGCAGTATATTGACAGAAAACTTCCAGAAATGCAAGCTGGATTCAGAAGAGGACATGATATAAGAGATATCATTGCTGGCTGATGTCAGATGGATCTTGGCTGAAAGCAAAGACTACCAGAAAGATGTTTACTTGTGTTTTATTGGCTATGTAAAAGCATTAGACTGTGTGGATCATAACAAATTATGGGTAACACTGAGAAGAATGAGAATTCCACAAGACTTCATTGTGCTTATGAGGAACCTGCACATAGACCAGGAGGCTGTCATTAGAACAGAACAAAGGGACACTGTGTGGTTTAAAATCAGGAAGGGAGTGTGTCAGGGTCGTATCCTTTTACCATACTTATATAATCTGTATGTTGAGCAAATAATCTGAGAAGCTGGACTATATGAAGAAGAATGCGGCATCAGGATTGGAGTAAGACTCATTAACAACCTGAGATACACAGACGACACATCATTGCTTGCTGAAAGTGAGGAGGACTTGAAGTACTTACTGATGAAGATTAAAGACTACAGTCTGCAGTACAGATTACACCTCAACATAAAGAAAATAAAAATCCTCACAACTGGACCACTAAGCAGCATCACAATAAATGGAGAGAAGATTGAGTTGTCAAAGATTTCATATTACTTGAATCCACAATCAATACCAATGGAAGCAGCAGTCAAGACATCAGATGACATACTGCACTGGGAAAATCTGCTGCAAAAGACCTCTTTAAAGTGCTGAAGAGCAAAGATGTCTCCTTGAAGACTAAGGTGTACCTGACCCAAGGCATGGTATTTTCAATTACCTCATATGCTGTGAGAGCTGGACAATGAATTAAGAAGACCTAATAAGAGTTCATACTTTTGAGTTGTGGTGTTGGAGAAGAATACTGAAAGTGTCATGGACTGCCAAAAGAACTAAAAAATCTGTCCTGGAAGAAATGCGACCAGAATGCTCCTTGGAAGCAAGAATGGTCAGACTTCATCTCATCTACTTTGGTCAGGTTGTCAGAAGGGACCTTTCCTGGGAGAAGGATATCATGTTTGGTAAAGTGGAGGGCCAATGAAAAAGGGGAATGCCCTCAATGAGATGGACTGACATGGTGCCTGCAATGATGTGCTCAGGTGTAGCAAGAACCGTGAGGCTGGCACAGGACCAGGCAGCATTTTGTTCTGTTGTACATAAGGTTGCTATAAGTTGGAGACAACTTGATGGCACCTAACAACAACAACAACAGTACTAAATTTAAAGAAGCCCTGGTGGTACAGTGGTTAAATACTCAGTTTCCAACCAAAATATCGGCAATTTGAACCCATCAGCTGCTCTGCAGGAGAGAGATGTGGCTGTCTGCTTCTGTAAAGATTTATAGCCTTAGAAACCCTATAGAGCAGTTCTACTCTTTCCCATAGAGTCATTATGAGGCAGAATTGACTCAATGGTAATGGATTTGATTTTTGTTTAATACCAAGTTTCACTCTTCCCAGGTCATTTTTGCTAGATTTCAACAGACTAGATTTCAGTAGGCTATAAAGATGATAAACAAAAATGTAGCAATTTTCAATATAATATTTAGACTTTCTAGAGAGTAAACTTCAAAATGCTCTAAAAACACATCTGCTAATAAAACCTGTTGATGTTACTGTTAGGTGCTGTCAAGTTGATTCCAACTCATGATGACTCTGTGTACAACAGAACAAAACACTGCCTGGTCCTGCGCCATCCTCTCAATCCTTGCCATTGTTGCAGCCAATGTTAATCTATCTCGTTGAGGGTCTTACTCTTTGTTTCAGACCCTCTACTTTATCTAGCATGATGTCCTTCTGTAGGGACTGATCCCTTCTGATGACATGTCCAAAGTATAGGAGATGAAGTCTTGCCATCCTTGCTTCTAAGGAGCATTCAGGCTGTACTTCTTCCAGGACAGACTTGTTCATTCATCTGCCAGTCCACTGCGTATTTAATAATCTTCACCAACACCATGATTCAAAGGCATCAGTTCTTCTTCAATCTTCCTTACTCATTATCCACCTTCTCATGCATATGATGTTATTGAAAAATACCATGACTTGTGACAGGCACACCTTACTCCTCAAAGTGGTATCTTCGCCTTTTAACACTTTAAAGGGGTCTTTTGCAGCAGATTTGCCAATGCAATATTTTGTTTGATTTCTTGATTGCTGCTTCCATGGGGATTCATTGTGGATCCAAGTAAAAGGAAATCCTTCACAATTTTAAACTTTTCTCCATTTATCACGATGTTGCTTATTGGTCCAGTTAGGAGGATTGTTTTATGTTAAGCTTAATTCATCTGAAGGCTACAGTCTTTGACTTTCATCAGTCAGTAAGTGCTTCAAGGCCTCTTCACTTTCAGCAAACAAGATTGTGTCATATGCATATCACAGGTTGTTCATGAGTCTCTCTCCAACACTGATGCTGCGTTATTCTTCACGTAGTCCAGTTTCTTGGATTACTTGCCTTTGAAATCTTCTGTGCAGCAATTTTACTTCATTTCTTCTATTCACTTTACCTACTCTACATTTAAGAGCAAGTTTTAGAGTCTCTCCTGACATCCATTTTGGTCTTTTCTTTCCTTTTTTTAAAAACCTGCTTATATAAAAACATGTTTTCTGAGAAGTTACATCTGCCAGTTAGACTTTGTGTTGACTTGCTCGTTGTAGCTGCTACACCTAACACAAGGACCGACAAACAGAATGTGCTCAATACACTGGATGGATGAACAAATATGATCACTACATATCTGTAAAGGTCTCTTATTCCTACCTTTCCCAATTTATTTTTAAAGTTTCCATTTCAAGATTACCTACATAAGTGCAGAGATGAAAATATAGATCATTTGAAAAGGGTTCTTAATTTCTATGGATTTACAAGCCCAGAGAAACAATATACTCACTTTGTGACTCCATAGTCAATTCCAATTGTTGCCAGGTATTTAGATACAAATCTTTTCTCACAGTATCGCTTTATTATACAGCTCTAAAAAGGTAAAAATACATGCATTTAGTAAATACACAGTGGACCATATACAAAACACTTTATTACAGTTTCTTCATTTACCACCATGAGAAAGCATTTTCAAAAGTCAAGTCAAAATAAACAAGTGCTAAAAGAAGACTTTAAAGAGAAATCCTTCCCTTAATAACAAATGTGGGTATGTTTTCAGTTTAGTTCTCAATCCTTATATTCTTACATGGGAAGACCTCTTCCAGCCTTATACTGTCAACGATGCCATAAAATATGTATGTCTAGTCTTGACCTCCCTCCCAAGACGACTGCCATTTCCAAATATCTTCTAGTCTCTTGGATGTGCCATAATTGCCTCGAATTGAGTCCAAAAATGAACTAATTTTACACATGAAAACAGCTCATTCTACTGATATCCTAGTTTAGTTAATAATGCTATCTTTTTCCCAATCACAGAGGATCAAAATACTGAAGTCATATTTGATTCTAGGGCTTTCTAAATCTTCTTTTAAATATTTCTTTCACCTTTTCCTTCGTTCCAATTTCCATTGGTACCACTTCTGTTGAGGTCCTTATCATCTACTCCTAGACAGCTACAGGAAATTCTTTATTGTTCTGTCTCCTTTTCCTCCTAACTTCAACCAGCACTGCACACTACTATCATTATTACACTTTTCTAATTCAAAAATCTTCAGTGGCTTCTCACTGCCAAGAGTTCAAATTAAAATTCCTTTGCCCTTTATTCAAGGCCCTCCATAATTTGGCCCTAATTATCTTCTCTGCCTGCAAAGCTCCCAAGACCCAATTTCCTGACTTTTGTCACTACTTTTCCCTCTACTTGGAATGGGTTTCCTCCCTTTTTTCCAAATCTTACTTATCCTTTAAAATGCAGCTCAAACACTGATCACCAAAGTTGTAAGTGATCTTGCTTGCATGTGAACTCCTGTAGCCCTTTTATGTGTGTACTATTATATATATTATAGCACACAATATAGTATATAGCATATAAACCAAACCAAACTTACTGCCGTCGAGTCAGTGGTATCACTATGGAAGTAGATTGCCCAACCTTCCTTCTAAGGAGTGGCTGGTATATACAAAAAAAAAAAAAAAACCAAACTCAATGCCACTGAGTCGATTCTGACTCACAGAGATTCCCACTGAGTTTCCAAGGCTGTAAATCTCTCCAGAAGCAGATTGCCTCATCTTTCTTCATGGAGCAGCTGGTGGGTTCCAACCACTGACCTTTTGCCTTAACCACTACACTACCAGAGCTCCTTTATTTAGCATATATGTAGTTTATATGGAGCTTTGGTGGCACAGTGTATAAGGCATTTGGCTGCTAACCAGAAGGTCAGTGGTTCAAACCTCTGCTCCACAGAAGGAAGTTGAGGCAATCTACTTTTGTAAAGATTTACAACTTTGGAAACCCAACTGGGGTCTATGAGTTGGAAGTGACATGATGGCAGTGGGTTTGGCTTTTGGTTTATGTAGTTTATATATGTTATATATATGTTGTTGTTGTTGTTTGCCATCGAGTCAGCCCATATACCATTTATTTTCCATCAATTATACACTATCTTGTATTGTTAGTTGTCTTTTCACATGTGCGTATTTATTTCCTCAGTGAGACAATAAACTACTTGAGAGCAAGCATTAGTATTTTAATTCCTTCTATCTTTCACAGTCACTAATCTTCACAAATCTTCTTTTAAATATTTCTTCCATCTTTCCCTTCATTCCAATTTCCATTGGTACCACTAGCTCAGTAACATAGTAGGGGCTTGGTAATCACTGAAAGAACATAACTAAGCAGTAATTAGATTAAGAGACACTTGGGCTGTTTCTGATAATGAAAATCAAATTTTAAAATGACTTGAATGGTAATAATAATCCCTAGCACTCATGAAACTTATAATTTATTTTAAGTGCAAGTAATGGAGTCTAAGGAACTTTGGTAGCATAGTGCTTAAAGCATTCAGCTGCTAACCTGAAGATCCAGTTTGAACCCATCAGCCACTCTATGGGAGATGATGAGGCAGTCTGTTTCTGTAAAGATTTATAGTCTTGAAAATGCTATGGAGCAGTTTTACTCTATCCTATACCAAACCCAAACCAAATTCACTGCCATGGAATCGGATCGCACTCATAGCAACCCCTCCTTGGGTTTCCGAGGCAGTATCACTATGGGAATAGATTGCCCAACCTTCCTTCCCAGGAGTAGCTGGTGGGTTTGAACCCCAGCCTTCTGGTTAGCAGTCAAAGGCCTTTGGCACTACGCTACCAGACTTCCTACTCTATCCTATAGGGTGGCTTGGCTTTAAGTCAGAATAGACTTAATGGCAGAGGGTTTGGTTTTGGTTTAATGGAATCTATTGTATTCAAATTCCCTCCTAATGAGCTGCAATCTAAATTAAATAGACTAGATAGTTAATTTAGGAGCTCTGGTATCGTAGTGCCTAAGGCACTTGACTGCTAAACAGAAGGCTGGGGGTTCAAACCCACTAGCCTCTCCTCGGAAGGAAGGTTGGGCAATCTACTTCTGCAGTGATACCGCCTCAGAAACCCAAGGAGGGGTTGCTATGAGTCGGGTCTGACTCGACAGCACATAACAACAAGAAAAACAGTTAATTTAAAAAGGAATTGGGAACTGATGGAAGAATTTCTTTGAAGTGACTACTGCTAAGAAGCTACACTCCTAAAAATACACTATAGCTTGAAAGCACTTCACAAATGTCTTCTCTCACAGTATCCTTGAGAAATAGCCTTTTTTTTTCCCCCCCTACATTATTCAAGAGATTAGGGAACCTGGAAGTCCTTTAACTTCAACATGTTAACTAAATCAATTATTTATAGATATAAACATTTAAATGATAGCATGAATAATAATTTTTTGTAACGCAAGGAGACATGCTTCTGTTCCTTAGGCTCCTTGAAGATAAACTAGACAATAAAGAGAGAACAGATAAAATTAAGTGAATAAAAAAACTAACTCAATATTAGCTATAGGGGCAAACTGGTTTACTTAAATAGGCCTCTCAAATATAAAATGTTGGTAATGAATACTGACAGAATTAAAATGTTAGAAATAAGCATATTAATAAAATAAATAAATAAAAGCATAACATAAGAAGGCAAGCTGGTAACACTCAGACAATGATTTGAGCCACTGGATTAGATATATATAATCTTCTTCTGAACCTATACAAAAAAGTGTGTATTTTAAAGAATTGACATCTCTACAATACTGAGTAATGCTATCTAAGGGAAAACTATATATTTCCATTTGTTTAAATAAGTTTATGTTCTTTAGTTAAGCTTGAGAATTTTTTGCATAGAGGTCCTGCCTATTTCTTCTTAAGTTTAAACTGAGGCACTTTATTTTTGTTGTTATTGTAAATTAAAATTATTTACCAATTATATATTCCAACTGATTATAATTTGGTTATGTTGTTGTTGCTGTTAGGGGCCACTGAGTAGGTTCTGACTCATAGCAACCCTATGGACAACAGAACAAAACTGTCTGGTCCTGCACCATCCTCAGAATTATTGCTATGTTTGGTCCCATTGTTGCAGCCACTTTGTCAGTCCATCTCTTTGATGGTCTTCCTCTTTTCTGCTGACACTTCACTTTACCAAGCATGATGTCTTCTCCAGAGACTAGTCCCTTCTGATAAACATGACCAAAGTACAAGAAACAAAGTCTTGCCATCCTCACTTCTAAGGAGCATTCCGGATGTACTTGCTCCAAGACAGCTCTGTTCATTCTTCTGGCAGTCCAAGGTATATTTAATATTCTTTGCCAACAACGTAATTCAAAGGCATTAATTCTTCAGTCTTCCTTATTCATTGATCCGCCTATTAATTTTTGCCGGATTGAATTTTCTTATTGTTCTAGTAGTTTTTCAGTTGATCTTCTTGGGGTTCCAGACAAACAAACATGTTACCAGCAAATAATAATAGTTTTGTCTTCTCCTTTCCAATATTTTATATTTTATTTCTTTCTTTTATCTAATTGTATTGGCTAATACATCCAGAACAATGTTAAACAAATACGGTAATATTGGGCATTTTAGCAGCTTCTAATGTTAAACCATTAAGCATAGTAAAATTACACAAGTGATACATGTTCACTTAGCTAGTTTAGTACATAACATTCTAGAGGCTCCTGAGGCTCTTTCTTTTCTTTTTAATGTATGGCACATAAGTAACACTCAATAAATGTTTGTTAACTTTCAGTGACAGACACAGAAGTAGTTAGAGGATAATGCTAAATGGAAAGGAAAGATACTAATAAACGTATTATTGAGCATCTCCTATGTTCAAGGCATTGGCCTAAACACTTTGATTTTGACAACATACAGTGCAGTGGTGAACAGATACTGCAAGTGGAAGTGTGAAGACCCAAGTTCTAATCTTATCTCTGTCACTGATTTGATGACCTCGGGAGGTTCTCAACCAACAGTTTCCACTTACCTAACAGCTTTCACTTACCCAGAAAGAGAAACAAGTTGGGTGAAGAGGAGGCAGTCTTAGAATTCATTTGAGGAAAGGCTTCGACTCATGTCTTGCCCTCCCTCCCTGGACTGTTGTATGTTGCCTGAATTGATTCCATGTGTACAGAGTAGAACTTCATAGGGTTTTCAAGACTGTGACCTTTTGGAAGCAGACTGTCATGCCTGTATTCTGAGACACCTCTGGGTAGGTTCAAACCACCAACCTTTCAACTAGTAGTTGAGCACTTAACCATTTGCACCAGTAGGGACCTTTACCTTATACTAAGGGAAAGGTAATAGCTTATACCCATGAGATGGAGTTTTGTGAAAGACGGTGGAACTAAGTCTTCTTTGAAAGAACGCATGTAGTGACATCACCAGAAATAAAACTAAAAACAACAAAATTAGGTTCCTTGACATCCAGTGCACCTCCGCTGTGAAATACATAAGCATCTCTTATGATAGAAATGTAGATCCTGGGCTCCAGAGGATTACAAATCCCAAATCCTCACATGAACCCAGTAAATTCATTAAGGTCCCAAGCACTTCTATGGTAACTTTTTATTCTCCACCTCTGAGTCCTGGACGGGTCACCTAGAACGCAGATATGGTGTATCTAAACGGACCATCTGACATTAGGATGTCGGCCTCCTCTCTTTTGAGTACGTTTTGGGGTTAGAGGCCACACCGAACACCTAAAAGAGAGTAACATCAGTTGAGGAAGGGGCAACCGAAAGGTCAAAAAGGTCGTTACAGTTTTCCTCCAGGAGCCGCATTCCCTAGGAGTAAATCTTGGCCTGCTCAGGGGCGGGGAGAAGGCAGGGCCCCAGGCTCATGAGTAGCCACCCTTTCAGCCAATCGGCACGTCGCCCCGCAGCGCTGAGGTCCCGCCCATCCCAGTACTGGGTACTCACTTTTCCCACTTCGGCGTTGCCCATGGAGATGACTTTGATGCGGAGGGACTTGCCAGGCTCCTTCCTCTTCGGCATGTTGGCCTCCATTGCCCTTGCTCTCTCGGGGCCACCTGCCTTGGCTTTCCTTGTTCGCCAAGCCGGCCAGTCCCTCAGGCCTTCTCATCCAATGGCGGAACCGCTGCTATCGTCACCGCCTCAGTTACAGGGCTCGCCATCCCAGCCGCTGCCTGACAGCAGGCGCGGGCGGTTGGGAGCGCTGGGAACTGGGGGAAAGGAGAAGAGAGTCTCGCGATGTTAGAAAGGGGGCGGTGTGACGTCATCGCCCTGACTCTGGAGACGAGGTTCTAGTTAACTGTTCATGGGGTCGTGGGGAAGGTCAAGTTGCACCTTTTGACAAGGCGGCGTTGAGGACTGGTTGGATTTATCCTTCATGGAGAGTGCAGTCTGTGTTCAGGGTCTTGAAGATAGTAGGAAATTGGATTTAACGCCGATTTATTGGTTGTTCGGGCAGATCCTCGGACTGAGAGTTTCTGCGATTATGGATTGGTCACACGCCGAATTTTCGAAGTGAACATGTATGACACGTTTAGGAGTGTTTTGTTTGGATTCGTCTTCGCTCCCATGGTTCTGTCTGCCGACTTCCAGCCTTCCAATATTAAATTTCCCTTGCTCGGGCTCCTTGAGAGGCAGGGTCAGAAGTCGGGAAGTCGGCCCTGGAACTAGAAGAGGGACTTGAGGCACGACAGAAAACAGCTGAGCCCCATTCTCATCATTAAAAATGATGAGATATGTAGTCAGGATAAGGGTTTTAGTTTAACCTTTGGTCTTTCATTATTATGGTCTTAGAGTTCATTGACGTGTGTGTGAGGAAGGGTCACATGAGATGTTTCCTAAGTTCCCTTCCAACTCAATCAAGGTGTGTATAATTTCAGCTCCTTCATTTTCCTCCTCTCCCTGCCACTTATAACGCTATGTCCTGTTCTCAACTTCCTTTTCATTGGGAATATGACAGTAAGATATTAATTCTAAGATGACCATTTTTAAAATTCTCATTCCAGGCGATAAGAAAAGCAGCTGCTCGAGAAGCCTGACAGGAATAGTTTTTTTGTGTCAATATCTAAAATTACAGAAGATAAAACCCAAAACCCCAAACTCACTGCCATGGATTCAAATTTGGCTCATAGCGACCCCCATTGGGTTTCCAAGGTTGTAAATCTTTCCAGAAGGAGACTAGCTCATCTTCAGTGAGCAGCTGGTGGGTTCTAACCACTAACATTTTGGTTAGCACCCAAATGCCTTAACCACTACACCACTAGAACTCTTTAAAAAAGATAAATAGAACTTGGCAAATGATTATTTAGTGCCCTGAGGAAGGATGGCTGTCAGTTTCCCAGTAAATTACAAAGGCAAAGGTAGCATTGATTCTGTTCTCGTTTATATTGCAGGGAGACAATAAAGACTCAAGATTTCATAATAGTTATTGTAAGTAAGATTCCTAAGCATATTTTTGTTTATTTTAAAACATGGAATGCTTTTTAAGAAAAAGCTTATTATGGGTTGCTTTCTTAATCAACAAATAATATAACTATTTGGTGAAAACTCTAAAATTCTTTACAAATATGCGATATAAGTCCTGGTTAGATTTTTGATAGTTTAAAGCTTAAAATAATTGGATTTATACTTTGGTTGTACACAGATCTAGATACTTAAAGAGATCTTTTCAACATGATTTAATAAATGCATAAACATCTGTTTCTTTGTTAGTTCACCTGAGCCCTGTAATGGAATTTGTATTACAGAAGAATAATTGCAAAATGCCAAATCTTCAACTATTAGAGACTGATTAGGTGTGATGTTATTGAGAATAAGATGCTGGAGATTAAAATTTACTGCCATTTTTCATATTGATGTTTTTGAGGTTTGAATATATGTAGCCATATTTCTGCTGCTTGTGTATTAAATTAGCTTGGAATCCAGAAAGCTGGAAAGTTAGCTTTCTTTTCTAGTTTTTGAATATAAAAAGAGTAAGTCAGCTGACAGTATGGAGTTGGAAGGTGAGATAGGAAGGTTAGGAGTGTGTTAAACTTCATGTTGGCGTGACATAAGTATGTGATGTGAGAATTTTAAGAGATAATGTACATGAAGTACATGATAATCCCCCAATACACAGTAGCAATGTGCTTTAATGCACTCATGTTTTTAATTTTTATGTATCAAAAACCAGTAAATATTTTAAATGTGTATTTTAAAGATCGGTTATGAAATAACTTGTATATACTTACTTAATAAAGGTATTAAGAATAATACCAAGCTTAAGTAATAAAGTATAACTGATACTGTGTGTGCCCTTCTTTGGTACATCCATTTCCCTCTCTATAAAAGGTTGCAACTCTGAATTGGTGCTTTTAATTTCCAGACATTTAAAAATTATTTTGGTACATATATATATATATATATATATATATATATAGGAGGAGCTCTGGTGGCGTAGTGCTTGAGGTATTTGACTGCTAAGCAGAAGGCTGGCAGTTCAAACCCACCAGCCACTCCTCGGAAGGAAGGTTGTGCAATCTACTTCCGTAGAGGTACCGCCTCAGAAACCCAAGGAGGGATCACTATGAGTCGGATCTGACTCGATGGCAGTGAGAACTTATGTATATATAGACCTAAAAATACAGTATTGCATCTTTTAAAACTCCTTATTTTGTAATGATTTCACATTTGAAGAATAGTACAAAAAACTCTTGTATATACTTTATTCAGTTTCATCACTTGTTAACAATAACATTTTACCTTATTAACTATGTCAGTTGTGCTTGCTGGCTCGCTTTCTATCTATATAAGCATACATATACACCATACGTGTTTTATCTAAACAATTTGAGAATAATTTGAAGATACCATTTTTCTTTACCCATAAATACTTCAATGTCTATTTCCTAAGAAAAGGACCTTTCTCTTATATAACAACAGTATATTTATCAAATCAGGAAAAATAACATTGATAGAACACTATTATCTAATCCTATGGTTGATTCTTAAACTGTGCATTGGGCCCCACAGAGAATTCACGTGGGGGACATTTGTGGGATACTTAAAATTTTCAAGGCAAACAAGGAAATCTGATAGGCAAAACTCATTATGTGGAAAAGCTTTTCACATGCGTGGAAAAGCTTTTCACATGCGTGTGAAAGCTGGACAATGAATAAGGAAGACCAAAGAAGAGTTGATGCATTTGAATTGTTGTGTTGGCAAAGGATATTGAATATACCATGATTTGCCAGAAGAATGAACAAATCTGTCTTGGAAGAACCACAGCTGGAATGCTCCTTAGAAGTAAGAATTGCCAGACTTCATCTCTCCTACTTAGGTCATGTTGTCAGAAGGGACCATTCCGTGGAGAGGATATCATGCTTGATAAAAGTAAAGGGTCAGTGAAGAAAGGGAAGACCCTCAATAGGATGGATTGACACAATGGCTGCAACGATGGGCTCAAATATAGCAATAATTGTGAGTATGGCACAGGACAGGACAGTTTTTCTGTTGCACTTGGGTTTCCTGTGAGTTCGGAGCCAACTCCACAGCACCTAACAAAGCGCAAAATAACTTTTGAGGTTTACAGTTGTTACAGTTTAACAATAGATGGCGCCATATTCCTTTCGAAATGTTATAGCTCTAGGAAGCTGTGTTTTTGAGGCTGTGATAAAAAGCAAGTACAGTGCAAAAATCAATGGAGAATAGGAAATGAGGGTGGCAGAAGCGCATCTATCCCATTGGTAAGTAATTGTGGTTAAGAATGAAATAGAAACTTTTTTTCCCAAAACCTACATGTTTTGTTTTTTTTTTCAAATGGCTACTAATTATTAGGACATCAATAGTTTTTTTTGTTGTTGTTTTTTTTAATTCCAGGGAGGACATTAATACTTAGTAAGTTGTTTGGACTTAGATATTTCTTTTGGCCAATGTACACCTTGAAAAACTTAATGAGACACTAAGGGCATCTTGAATCAAGAAAGCTTGGGAAACTTTTATCTAATCCACAGTTTATATTCAGATTTCATCACTTGTTACGATAATATCCTTTATAAATTTACTTCATCTGCTAGTCTGGAATCTACTCTAGGATTGCTTAATTATCATCTGTCTTTGTTGTTGTTGTTAGGTACCCTCAAATCTGTTGCAGCTGTTCCAACTTACAGCGATCTCACGTATAATAGAACAAAACGTCTGGTCCCATGCCATCCTCACAATTGTCACTATGTTTGAGACCTTTGTTGAAGCCACTGTGTCTATCCATCTCATTGATAATTTTCCTTTTTTTCACTGATCATCTGCCTTACCATGCATCATGTCCTTCTCCAAAGATTGGTCCATCTTAATAACATGTCCGAAGTATGAGAGATGAAATCTCACCATCCTTGCTTCTAAGTAACGCTCTGGCAGTACTTCTTCAAAGACAGATCTGTTTATTCTTTTGTCAGTCCATGATATATTCAATATTCTTTGGCAACACAATTCAAACGCATCATTTCTTCAGTCTTCCTTTTTCATTACCCAGCTTTCACATGCATACGAGGCAATTGAAAATACCATGGCTTGGTTAAGTGCACCTTAGTCCTCAAAGTGACATTTTTGCTTTTTAGCACTTTAAAGATGTCTTTTTGCAGCAGATTTTCCCAGAGCTGCTCTGTGGTCAGTGATTGTAAATCTAAGAAAATAATTCTTGACAGCTTCAATTTCTTCACCATTTATCGTGATATTTATTTGTTGTTTATAGAATTTTAAGGATTTTCATTTTGTTTTGTGTTGAAGTGCTTCAAGTAGTCTTCACTTTTGGCAAGCAAGGTTGTGTAATCTGCATATTACAGGTCGTTAATGAGTCTTTCTCCGGGAGCTCTGGTAGCATAGTGGCTAAGGCACTTGACTGCTAACCAGAAGGCTGGTGGTTCAAACCCACCAGCCGCTCCTCGGAAGGAAGGTTGGGCAATCCTACTTCTGTAGTGATACTGCCTCGGAAACCCAAGGAGGGGTCGCTATGAGTCAGGGATGACTCAACGGCACATAACAACAACAACAACAATGAGTCT